CCCACCGGCTCCTCTGGCCCAGGCTCTTCGGCGACAGCTGCCCGGTGGCGGCGCTCGCGAGCTTCCTGACGTCCGAGAGACTTCCGTACCACGAGGCGACCCAGCGGGAGTTCCGCCCGGCTCAGGTCGGCGACAGCTTCGGACCCACGTGGGTAAACGCCCCGCCTGGGCGGCCCCGCCCCCGGCCTGTTCGTCACCATTCATGGCCACGCCTCTTCCCGCCCCGCCCCCGGCCTCCCTGTCAGCACCCTGGCCACGCCCCCGACCTGCTCCAGACCGATGAGCGGGAGGCCCCGCCCCTTGACCTGTGTATCACCATCAGGCCACGCCCGTTTCCCCGCCCCGCCCCACAGAGATGAACAGGAAAGCCCCGCTCTTCCGGCCTGTCTGTCACCGTCTAGAGCCACGCCCCTCACCTTGTCCCGCTCGGGATTGGGTTGATCGGGAAGCCCTGCTTTTCCGACCTTCTCGTCACCGCCCAGGGCCACGCCCCCTCCCCGCCCCGCTCCTGACGGCGATGGGATGAGCCTGCGCCCTCTGCTGGAAGTTTTGGGGACCGTTTTCACCGCTGAGAAGAAAAAACCCCGAGGGCGGGATTCCCATCTCCTGGACCCAATGGCTCTCTTCCAGGTGGTGGACCTGCTGGTTCCGCGTGGAGCTGAGCATTCCAGAAGCATGGGTAGGCCAAGAAGTTCACCTCTGCTGGGAAAGTGATGGAGAAGGCCTGGTCTGGCGCGATGGGGAGCCCGTCCAGGTGAGGGCCTGCCCTGTGGACAGCCCGGGGGTTTGGAGAAGCTGAGCTGAAGGGCTTTTCCTGGACTAGGAAAGTAAGCCGCTGGGACATCTGTCTTGAGTTCCTGGTTGTGAACAAACTGTTGTTTATTTTTTTTTGGAGGGGGGAGGGCGGAGAGTGGGGCTTAAAATCAAGGCCTGGGTTTTTTGGGGTTTTTTTGTCAGTTAATCAGACTTGAACTCAGGTCCTAGGCACTGTCCCTGAGCTCTTTGATCAAGGCTAGTGCTCTCCCATGTTGAGCAGCAGCTCCAACTTCGTTTTCTGATGGTTCATTGAAGATGAATCTCATAGGCTTTCCTGCCCAGGCTGGTTTCAAACCACAATCTTCAGATCTCAGCCTCCTGAGTAGCTACAATTACAGGTGGTACCCGGCTTGTCCTTTAGCTTTTGTAATCAAGGCTAGCACTTGAGCCACAGCTCTACTTCTGACTTCTTTACTGCTTAATGAAGAGATAAGAGTTTCAGGGACTTTCCTTCCCCAGGCTGGCTTCAAAATGCAGTCCTCTGATTTCAGCCTCCTGAGTAGGTACAGACCTGAGCCACCAGCACTGGAATTTATTTATTTATTTTTTTGTCAGTCATGGGGCTTGCACTCTGGGCCTGGGCTCTGTCCCTCAGCTCTTCAGCTCAAGGCTAGTGCTCTACCACTTGAGGCACAGCGCCACGTCCAGCTTTTTCTGCTTATGTGGTGCTGAGGAATCGAACCCAGAGCCTCATGCATGCAAGGCAAGCGCTCTACCACTGAGCCATCTTCCCAGCCCCTCTACTGGTTTTATTAGAGATAAGAGTCTCACACACTTTCCTGCCTAGGCTGGCTTTGAACCGCAATCCTCAGATCTCAGCCTCCTGAGTAGGATTACAGGCGTGAGAAACCGGTGCCCAGCTTTTGGGTATTTTTTTAAATGGTATATAATACATATTTATGGGGGAGGTTTTCTAATACTTCTAGATTATATAATGTATAACATTTAAGCTCCCTTCACTTGGAGCTAGAGTAATATTGAAATTAATTGTGACTTAAGTATGAACAGGACAAAAATCTCACTGAGGACTGTTAAACAATAGGGGTGGAGGAATGGAAGAGAAGTAGATTACCTCCACCTGAAGTAGTGGCTCTCCATCACCCAACCCTGTTCCCCAGTGTTAAATGCCATATAGGTTTAATTTTGGTAATCCTGTACAGCAGGTTTTCATGTCCACTTACAGATTAGGAAACAGCCAGATGATGGCAGCTCAGGCCTGTCATCCCAGCTGCTCAGGAGGCTGAGATCTGAGGATCGAGGTTCAATGCCAGCCCAGACAGAAAATTCAGTGACACTTTCATCTCTCCAGCAAAAAGCTGGAAATAGAGCTGTGGTTCAAGTGGTAGAGTGACATCTTGAGCAGAAAAAGCCAGGGGTCAAGCCCCAGACTGGCACAACAAAAGAAGAAACTGAGGTATATAGAGATTCATTGATGCGCACAGTTTCCACTCCAAATCGAAGATTAGACCTTTTCTTCTTGCTCTAAAAGAAGGCAGAGGCTGGGAATATAGCTTAGTGGTTGAGTGCTTGCCTAGCATTCATGAAGCCCTGGGTTCAATTCCTCCACATAAGCAGAAAAAAACAAAAGTGGAACTGTGGCTTAAATGGTAGAGTGCTAGCTTTGAGCAAATGAAGCTCAGGGACAGAGCCCAGGCCCTGAGTTCAAGCCCTAGGACTGGCAAAATAAATAAATAAATAAGTGAAGGCAGATCCCTCCCACTCCTCCTTCCCCCCACTGGCTAGCAGATGGCTCCTGGTACTAAAGAGAAAGCCGAACATGAAGCACACCTGTCTCTGGCTTTATGGCCATTTTTCTTCCCTCAGTATGGAACGTTGAATTTAGTGCCTTGAACATACAAGTTAAGTGCAGTCCTACTGAGCCAGTGTTCCCAGATTCCATCTCCCACCCGTCACCCCCACTCCCCCCACCCTTCAGTCATGGGACTTGAACTCTGCCTGGATGCTCAAGGCGAGCGCTCTACCACTTTGAGCCACAGCTCCACTTCTGGTTTTCTGATGGTTCATTGGAGAAAAGAGTCTCACAGACTTTCCTGCCCAGGCTGGCTTCGAACCTTGATCCTCAGATCTCAGCCTCCTGAGTAGCTAGGATGACAGGCGTGAGCCACCAGGACCTGGCTCCCTTCCCCCTTTTTAAAAAAGGGAATAAAAAGCCCCACTCAGTTGTCCAAGCTGGCTTCCAGCTTGCTGACCTCCTGCTCCAATCTCCTGAGTAGCTGGGATTGCAGATGTGTGCTGCTGTGCCTGCCTCAGCTCATGGTATTGCCCTTCAGATAGTTCTGTTGAATAGCTTTTTTTTGTCTTGGTTTTGTTTTTGGGTCCGGTCGTGGGGCCTGAACTCTGGGCCTGGGCGCTGTCCCTCAGCTCTTCAGCTCAAGGCTAGTGCTCTACCACTTGAGCCACAGCGCCACTTCCGGCTCTTTTCTTTTTGCTTATGTGGTGCTGAGGAATCGAACCCAGGGCCTCAGGCATGCAAGGCAGGTGCTCTACCACTGAGCCACCCACCTTCCCAGCCCTTTGCCCTTCAGATATTTCTTTGGGGGCACCAAAGCCACTTCCAGGCCTTCTGATCCCGTCTAGGTCATTTCTCGTAAGACCGTGGGCTTTTCCGCAGCAAACAGGTGGTCATGGGCTGGCTCCCACAGGAGGTGGGCACTGAGTGACAGAGGCCTGATTTGGGCTAGCATGGGGGGGGCACCCAGGCTGGGCGCTGCGCAGAGGGCCCTGTCCTCCCTCCCCTTGAGCCTCCCAGAGGCTCAGGTGCCGTCTCTCTCCTCCCCTTCTACTAGGGTCTGACCAAAGAGGGTGAGAAGACCAGTTACATCCTCACTGAGAAGCTGGGCGATGGAGACCCCCGGAAGTGAGTCCCTGCACGAGTCCTGAGTGGGCTCAGAAGCACTTCCCCATCCATCCCCACAGGCAATTGGAATACCAGCCCTGAGAGGCGCGTGTGTGTGTGTGTGTGTGTGTGTGTGTGTGTGCGCGCATGCTGCTTTTCTGGTGGTTCATTGGAGATAAGAGTCTCATGGCCTTTCCTGCCCGGGCTGGCTTTGAACTGCGATCCTCAGATCTCAGCCTCCTGAGTAGCTGGGATGTCAGGCGGGAGCTGCCAGCATCCGGCGTTCTCCAGGTCTTTTTGCTGGCTACCAGGCAGCCTGTCCCCAGTCCCCCTTAATCCTCAGAGCTCAGCCTTCTGAACAGCTAGGAAACAGCCTGAGCCAGCAGCACCATTTGGCTCACGGACCATGTGGAGCCCAAGCCTCTGGAGGAGGACACAGGTTGGGTCTGGTGTATTTCCCATGCCACGCGCACATGCGCCCATGCACACACACACATCCCGTGGGTGTCTCAGGCCAGGCGAAGGGGAACCGGTCAGGCAGATGCCTCCTGTACGCCCCGCCCCAAGCCCCAGACCCTTCTTCTGCCTGCCTGTGCAGCCTCACCCTCTACGTGGAAGTGGCCTGCAACGCGCTCCTGGGGGCGGGGAAGGGCAGCATGATCGCGCCCCCGGACCCCGACAGGATGTTCAAGCTGAGCCGGGCCGAGCTGGCTGTGTGCCGCCGGGATGTGCACAGGCTCCTGGTGGACCTGGAGCTGCTGCTGGGCATCGCCAAGGTACTGGCGCGCCACCGGGGTGCAGACAAGGGGCCCGGCCTGCTCCCCGCTGGTCCTCTCCAGCCCCACCCCAAACACATCAGCTTTGTTTTGTACTAGCACTGGAGCTTGAACTCAGGGCCCGAGCACTGTCCCTTCGCTTTTTCACTCAAGGCTAGCACTCTCTCACTTGAGCCAGAGCGCCATGTTGAACTTTTTGGTGGTTCACTGGAAATAAGAGTTTCACAGATCCGGGGGCCAGTGGCTCACACCTATCATCCCAGCTCCTCAAGAAGCTGAGATCTGAGGATCACGGTTCAAAGCCAGCCCAGGCAGGAGAGGCCATGAGACTCTTAACTCCAATGAACCACTAGAAAACTGGAAGTGGTACTGTGGCTCAAGTAGTAGAGCGCTAGCCTTGAGCTGAAGAGCTGAGGGTCAGTGCCTAGGCCCAGAGTTCAAGCCCCATGATGGACAAAAGAAAAAAAAAAGTCATAGACTTTCCTGCCTGGGCTGGTTTCAAACTGTGATCCTGGATCTCAGCCTCCCGAGTTGCTGGGATTGAAGGTGTGATTCCAGACACCCTCGGCCATTGCATTGTGGGATCAGGTGACAAGGATTCTAAGAACCCAGAGCTTCCGATGTGAAGGGAGCTTCTGATATTGCAGTGGTGCTTGCTGGGGGTAAAGGGGGCGGGGCTCTGTTGCAGGGGTAAAGGGGGGGTCCTGTTGCAGGGGTGAAGGGTCAGGCCTGCTGCAGGGGTGAAGGGTCAGGCCTGCTGCAGGGGTGAAGGGTCAGGCCTGCTGCAGGGGTGAAGGGTCAGGCCTGCTGCAGGGGTGAAGGGTCCGGCCTGTTGCAGGGCCTCGGGCAGGAGAGCCAGCGCAGCTTCCAGGCCTTGTACACGGCCAACCACATGGTGAACGTGTGTGACCCCACCCGACCCGAGACCTTCCCAACGGCCCAGGCCCTGGCCTCCAAGTTCTTCAGCCAACGCGGAGGTGAAAGCCAGCACACGATCCACGCCACGGGGCACTGCCACATCGACACAGGTAGGGCGCAGCCGGGCAGCCGGTCGCAGGGCTGGGGAGGCTGGGGGCCAGCCCTGGAGACACAAGGTTCTCTGGCCTTCCTTCATGTTCCCTATCTGTAAAATGGGTCTGGGAGTGCGCGCTGCCGCCAGGCCTGGGGTTCCATCTGGAGGCCTGGGCTGGGCCAGGCTGCTTGCTGGACATCAGCACGGAGCAGGGCCCCGGCCGCCCCGCCCCAGCCCTGACCCTGCGCCCTTCCAGCCTGGCTTTGGCCCTTCAAGGAGACAGTGCGGAAATGTGCCCGTAGCTGGGCGACGGCTGTGCAGCTCATGGAGGAGAATGCCGACTTCATCTTCGCCTGTTCCCAGGTCAGAAGGTGGCCATGTCGGGGCATGATGGCCCCAGAAGCTGGGCATTGGGGTGGGGTCCTTGTCAGTCCCTGAGGGCCATCTCCCCCACACACACCCCTGTGTGATCCCCCCCTCCCCAGGCCCAGCAGCTGGAATGGGTGAAGAGCCACTACCCTGGTCTGTACGCCCGGCTCCAGGAGTTTGCCTGCCGCGGGCAGTTTGTGCCCGTGGGGGGCACCTGGGTGGAGATGGTGAGTAGTCCCCGCCCTGCTCCACGGGGCCATCAGCAGGCCAGCCCGACTTCCTCCACAGCGGGGCTCCAAGGGGAAGCGGCTGGGCACCGAGCCAGGCTGTCCACGTGGCAGGAGCCGGGGGGGGGCACCCCGAGGGACCCCCCCTCCCCCGCCACCCTGCCTGTGGCTTCTCCAGGCGTGGGCTCGTAGCCCTGAGCACGGCTGCCCTCGCCCCTCCACAGGACGGGAACCTGCCGAGCGGCGAGGCCATGGTCAGACAGTTCCTGCAGGGCCAGGCCTTCTTCCTGCAGGAGTTTGGGAAGACGTGCTCCGAGGTAGTGGGGTGACCCCCCCCAGAGCCCCGGGCGGGGTGGAGCGCACTTGCCACCAGCTCCAGACCACTCTCCCTCCTCCCCCACTTTCCTGGAAGTTCTGGCTGCCGGACACGTTTGGCTACTCAGCCCAGCTACCCCAGATCATGCGCGGCTGCGGCATCACGCGATTCCTCACGCAGAAACTCAGCTGGAACCTGGTGAACTCCTTCCCGGTGAGCCCAAGCCGGCAACCGCACGAGGGAGCAGGCTGGGTCCCCCCACCGTCTCACCCCCTCCCCAAGGTTTGGTTTGGTTTGCTTTTTGTCTGTCGGTCATGGGGCTTGAACTCTGGGCCTGGGCGCTGTCCCTCAGCTCTTCAGCTCAAGGCAAGTGCTCTACTTCCTGAGCCACAGCGCCACTTCCAGTTTTCTGAGTGGTTTATTGGAGATAAGAGTCTTAGGAACTTTCCTGCCCAAGCTGGCTTTGAACCATGATCCTCAGATCTCAGCCTCCTGAGTAGCTAGGATTACAGGCGTGAGCCACTGGCACCCGGCTTTCCTCCCCAAGGTTATTGAGGGCCCCTAGAAAGACCACCCCAAAATTTCAGCATCTCAGGAGGCTGACAGCTGAGGATCGTGGTTTGAAGCCAGCTGCGGCATGAGATTCTGATCTCCAGTGTATCAGCAAAAAGCTGGATGTGGAGCTGTGGTTCAAGTGGCAGAGTGCGAGCCTTGAGCGAAAAGCTCAGGGACAGCGCCCAGGGCCTGACTCCAAGCCCCAGTAGTGGGGGGGGCGGGGAAGCGGGGCGCTGGTGGCTCAAGCCTATAATCCTAGCTACTCAGGAGGTTGAGATCTGAGGATCATGGTTCAAACTAGGAAAGTGTGAGACTCTGATCTCCAATAAACCACCAGAAAACTGGAAGTGGTGCTGTGGCTCAAGTGGTAGAGCACTTGCTTGAGCTGAAGAGCTGAGGGACAGCACCCAGGCCGAGTTCAAGCCCCAGGACCCACCAAAAAAAAAAAAAAAACTCCCACCTAGAAAAGTATAGGCCTCCGCCAGGATGAAAAAAGGGGCAAGACCCCACGTGGAAGGTGCCCGCAGCCTCAGCCCTGACCAGCCTCTTCCCTGCCTCTGTCTCCCGGCTGGCAGCACCACACCTTTTTCTGGGAGGGGCTGGATGGTTCTCGAGTGCTGGTCCACTTTCCCCCTGGGGACTCGTACGGCATGCAGGGCAGCGTGGACGAGGTGAGCGGGGTGGAGGGCAGGCCGGAGAGGGCTGGACGTCCCATCCCAAGCTGACCCGGCCTGGTCTGTCCAGATCCTGAAGACGGTGGCCAATAACCGGGACAAGGGGCGGGCCAACCACAGCGCCTTCCTCTTCGGCTTCGGGGACGGGGGCGGCGGCCCCACGCAGACCATGCTGGACCGCCTGAGGCGGCTGCGCAACACCGATGGGATGCCCAGGTCAGCCTGGGCCTCCTACGGGCCGGCCCCAGCCCGGAGCCCCGCAGCCGGGCCTGCACCGGGCTCCACCCTCCCACCCACCCCCGCCTTGGGCAGGGGCAAGAGCAGAGCCACCAGAGTGCACCTCTCCTGGGGGCCTTGCCAGCCCTGTGTCCGTGGAACTCTCTAGCTTAACTCCAGTACTGGGGCTGGCTCTCAGGGGGAAGGGCCAACTACAGGCCCAGGTGGGGAGGCCCCGGGCGGGGAGGCCCGTGCTGAGAGGCCCAGGCTGTGGTCTCCTTCAGGGTGCAGCTGTCTTCCCCGGACCAGCTTTTCTCAGCACTGGAGAAAGACGCCGGCCAGCTGTGCACGTGGGTCGGGGAGCTCTTCCTGGAGTTACACAATGGCACCTACACCACCCATGCCCAGGTTAGAGCCAGGCTGCCAGGCCCGGCCTGCAGGCAATGGCGGAGTCCCAGCTGGGGAGAGAGAAGCCCCCACCCCCCCCTCCCCATGGGGCCAGGGTCCCCGGGGGACCCCGAAAGAGCCAGGGAGGGGGTTCGACACCCCCGGCTCCATGCACACTGCACACAGGTGTACCCCGCTCTGTGCACAGCTCAAGAAGGGGAACCGGGAGTGCGAGCAGATCCTGCACGACGTGGAGCTGCTCAGCGCCCTGGCCCTGGCCCGCAGCGCGCAGTTCCTCTACCCTGCAGCCCAGCTGCAGAAGATGTGGAGGTCAGCCAAGCCCCCCAACAGTGGCCCCCCCACTGCCCCGCCCATCCCTGCCCCAACACCCCTCCCTCTCCCCCAGGATTCTGCTCCTCAACCAGTTCCACGACGTGCTGACCGGAAGCTGTATCCAGCTGGTGGCCGAGGAGGCCCTGAGCTTCTATGAAGGTGACGCTGCCCGCAGGGCTGGGCCCCGAGCGCACCCCTCCCCCACCGCACCCCACCCCGTGACCCCTCAGTCTCTCCTTAGACATCCGTTCCCGTGGCACCGCGCTGCTGGGCGCGGCGGCTGCGGCCCTGAGCGCCGGGGAGCCCGGCCCCGAGGGGCTCCTGGTGGTCAACACGCTGCCCTGGCCGCGCACCGAGGTGCTCTTGCTGCCCAGGCCTGGGGGGACCCACAGCCTAGGTATGAGTCCTGGGGGAATCTCTGATTTGGGGTACCCCAGCCTTCACCCCCCTAAGCAAGGTCTCTGGAAGGTCAGGCTCCGCTGATGCCCACCCGGGCCTCATCCTCAGCTCTGGTGACGGTGCCCGGCGTGGGCTACGCCCCGGCTCCCAGCCCGAACCCCAGCCAGGCCCCATCACAGCCCCAGCAGCCTGTGGGCGTGGTGCAGGAGGTGAGTCGTGGCAGCCTGGGGCAGGCCCTGAACCCCCAGACTGCAGCCAGAGGGTGCTGGGGGAGGGGGCTGTCGGTGTGGGAAGACCCTCCAGACTCAGCCTCACGCCGCTCCCACCCAAGAGCGACGGCTCAGTGACCCTGGACAACGGCATCATCCGGGTAAAGCTGGATCCGCTGGGCAGAGTCACGTCCCTGGTCCTGGTGGCCTCCGGCAGGTACCAAGCCCTCACCATGCTGCACCCCACCTGCCAGCACCCCGGGGCAAAGACCTGGGGGGGGCACGGGCCTGGGGCTGGGCTGGGCTGTGGGTCCCCCTGTCCCTTGGGTGGAGAGAGACAAGGTGACCCTGTCCCCAGGGAGGCCGTCGCCCAGGGTGCCCTGGGGAACCAGTTCGTGCTGTTTGACGATGTCCCCTTGTTCTGGGACGCCTGGGATGTCATGGACTACCACCTGGAGACCCGGTAAGCGCCCGGCCGGATGCTGGGGGGCGGGTGCGGCCTGCCCCAGCTCAGTGTCCCCCACCTCCATTCCACAGGAAGCCCGTGCTGGGCCAGGCGGGGGCCCTCGAGGTGGGCGCCCAGGGCGGTCTCCGCGGCAGCGCCTGGTTCCAGCTGCAGATCAGCCCCGACAGTCAGCTCCGACAGGAGATTGTGCTGGACGTGGGCTGCCCCTACGTCCGCTTCCACACCGAGGTAGCCGGGGCAGGGGTGGGGGGGGGTGGCCGTCCTGTCCCGCGGGAGGCCGGCCCCAGCCTATGGGGTGAGAGTCCTCCCCTCCTGTCCCGCCCCCTGCCCCCAGGTGCACTGGCACGAGGCCCACAAGTTCCTGAAGGTGGAGTTCCCCGCCCGCGTGCGCAGCCCCCAGGCCACCTACGAGATCCAGTTCGGACACCTGCAGCGGCCCACCCACTACAACACCTCCTGGGACTGGGCCCGATTTGAGGTCTGACCTGGGAAATGGGGGTAAAAGGGGCGGGGGGAGGCTCTGACGCCTGACCAGGCCAGAAAAGGAGGAGACCCAACCTGTACTCTTTGCCAACACATCAGGCAGGGTGCTGACCTTAGCCTCCTGTGAAGCTTTGACGCCCGGGTCCCATTTCACAGATGGGGAAACTGAGGCTGAGCCGGGTGCTGGCACGGCCCAGGGCTTCCTAGCCCGTGACAGCCCCCTTCGGTCAGGGGGGTTCCAGAGGGCTCTGGAGACGAGGGGACGGAGCGGAAAAAGTGGGGCTACCAGGTCTTCTTGGCTGGCAGGTGTGGGCGCACCGCTGGGTGGATCTGTCGGAGCACGGCTTCGGCCTGGCGCTGCTCAACGACTGCAAGTACGGCGCGGCCGTGCGGGGCGGCGTGCTCAGCCTCTCGCTGTAAGCGGGGCGCGGCGCGGGGGGGGGGGGGGGGGCGGGGGGGGGGGGGGGGGGGGGGGAGGGGGGGCGGGGGGCGGGGTCTTGGACTGTGGGCGTGGTCAGCCTCTCCCTGTAAGAGGGGCAGGGGGCGGGGTCTTGGACTGTGGGCGTGGTCAGCCTCTCCCTGTAAGGGGAGGGGGCGCGGTCTCTGGCTGGGGGCGTGGTCAGTCTATCCCTGTAAGGGGAGGGGCGGGGTCTCTGGCTGAGGGGCGTGGTCAGGCTCTCGCTGTAAGGGGAGGGGGCTGGGAGGGGCGGGGTCTCTGGCTGGGGGCGTGGTCAGCCTCTCCCTGTAAGAGGGGCAGGGGGCTGGGAGGAGGCGGGGTGTCTGGCGGGGTCTCTGGCCTCCCTGTTGGGGGAAGAGATGGCGGCCGCCGGGTGGGGGACTGGGGCCCGGCCCCTGCAGCCCTCCCTCTCCCCCCTCCCACGCCAGTCTGCGGGCACCGAAGGCCCCCGACGCCACGGCGGACATGGGGCACCACGAGTTCACCTACGCCCTGATGCCGCACCAGGGTGAGTGGGGCTCCCGGGGGCGGAGCGGGGCTCCCCCGCGGAGAGCACCGTTCTCCGTCCTTCATCCCTCCGCCCCAGGCTCCTTCCAGGACGCCGGCGTCATCCAAGCTGCCTACAGCCTCAACTTCCCGCTGCTGGCCCTGCCGGTGCCCGGCCCCGCGCCCGCCACGGCCTGGAGCGCCTTCTCCGTGTCCTCGCCCGCCGTGGTGCTGGAGACGGTCAAGCAGGTCCGGGGTGGCCGGGGGCGGGGCCTGGGCGGGGCATTCCCGCACGGGGCGGGGCCTTCCGCTGGCCACGCCCCTCCCGCCGACGGCTCCGCCCCTCGCTCCGCAGGCCGAGCGGAGCCCCCAGGGCCGCACGCTGGTCCTGAGGCTGTACGAGGCCTACGGCAGCCGCGTGGACTGCTGGCTGCACATCTTGCTGCCCGTTCAGGAGGCCTTCCTGTGAGTGGGGACGGGGGGGGGGCCGGCCCGCCCCTGCAGACCCTCACCCCCCTTCCTCCCCGCAGCTGTGACCTCCTGGAGCAGCGGGACCCCGCCGGCTACCTGCCCCTGCGGGACTCCCGGGTGAAGCTCAGCTTCTCCCCCTTCCAAGTGAGGTCCCTGCTGCTGGTGCTGCAGCCTCCCCGGAACTGAGGCCCTGGGGCCTCCCGTCTCCACTTCCCCGACCTGAGCCAGGATCGGCTGCCTCTTGCATAATAAACCCCCGGGTCGGTAGCCCCGGCCCCGGACCCCGCCACCCTTGGATATTTATTTATTGCCAGTCCCAGGGCTTGAACTCAGGACCTGGGCACTGTCCCTAAGCCAATTTTGCTCAAGGCTATCACTCGACCATTTGAGCCACTGGCACCACTATTTGCTTTTTCTGTGTATGTGGTACTGAGGAATCGAACACAGGGCATCATGCATGCCAGGCAGGCACTCTACCACTAAGCCACAGTCCCAGCTCCCGTTTGGATTTTGTTGTTGTTGTTGGTCATGGGGCTTGAACTCTGGGCCTGGGCGCTGTCCCTCAGCTCAAGGCTAGCGATCTAGCGCTTGAGCCACAGCGTCACTTCTGGTAGTTTTATTGGAGATTAGAGTCTCACAGACTTTCCTGCCCCGGCTGGCTTTGAACGGCCATCCTCAGATCTCAGCCTCCTGAGTTGCTAGGATGACAGGCATGAGCCACCGGCGCCCAGCCTATTTGGATATTTATTACACACCCATTCCCTGGACACAGAAGCATGCCAGTACCAACAGATGGCCGCAGGCCGTTGGCAGGCACTCAGATGTCTGTCTTGTCACCGACAGTGATCTCAGGCCTCCTGGGCCTGCAGGCTTCTCGGCTCTACCCCGCTAAAGCTGGGCTCAGGAATCATGGAAAAGGGCGAGGCAGAGGGTTTCCAGGACCCTGAACTAAGAGACCACAAGCTGGACAGTTGAAGGCTGGAGGATGGGTTCTGGGTGCTTGGGGAAGGGGCAGCCACAGAACCCATAGAATCCCACCCTCAGGCGGGTCCCCTAAGAGCCACAGCCTTGAAGTCTGCAGGGGAGGGGAGGCCCCTCTCTCCAAAGCCCAAAAGCATCGAGTCCAAATGTATTAGTTTATTTAAAATAGCATTCATAAGAGCTTTAAAACCTGAAAAGCGGGTACCATTTAAAACTCCAGTGATTCAGGAAACAGCCCTTCACATACTCTCCTAGGAATCCACACACACACACACAGCAACATCCAGAGAGTGGAAGATGGGTTCAAGCAAGGAGGGCTGCCTGCTAAGAGGCTGGGGTCCCCCCAGACTCCCCAGATGGGGTACTGGCTTTGGTCTTCTGCGGTCTACGGCGGCCTGGGAGGAGACAGCAGAGACAGCTGGCTGGGGGAGGGGTTCCACAGGGCCTTGCTCCCCCCCCCACACACAGGTCTCCCCCAGCCCAGGGAGGAGACGGGGAAGCCCACTTGCGCTTGCGTAGACAAGGGGAAGCCAACCTGCGCCTGTGCAGCGGCGCCCTGTCCTCTTCCCTTTCTCAGGGTCTGGGGGGGCCTCTGGGGCCTGCGGGGGGGTGGTCCCAGGCCCAGGGGGACCTCTGGGGCTTGTGGGAGGCGGGTCCCCTTCAGCTGTCTTCCTGGAGGGTTTTCGGGTTCTTCTCCTCCTGGGCAGTGGGGGGACCTGGGTGGAGGAGATGACGCCAGGTGGGCCGTCCACGGGGGGCTGCGCAGGTCCAGCTGCAGAACTGGCCCCAGCACCCCTCAGAAGAGCACTGGCCAGGAACAGGCCCCTACCTCTGCTCCATCCGCAGGCACCTGCTGGCTCTTCCGGGCCTTCTTTTTGCGGGACTTGCCCCCTGCAGGACGCTGCGCTGGGGTTGAGGCTCCCAGGGCCCCGGCTCCCCCCTCTGGGGGTGACCCCAGGATGGAGTGGGGCTGGGGGGGGACGCTGAGCCCTGGAAGGCGTGGAGTCCTTCCCACTCTCTTGGCCTCTTAAGTTAGTGGCTGCTTACCTTTCGGTGCCATGGGGCCAGGGTCCCCCTGAAATGGAATGAGGACAAGGCTGGCGTGGAAGGAGGGAAGGGACCGGGGGGAGATGTGACCCCCGGCCGGCCTCGGCAGGGCCTCAGCCTCCCAGCCTCTGACCCCAGGCCTCTACTTCCCTGGCCTCCCTGCCTGTGTGAACAGTAAGCACCAAACCTGGAACCAGATGGTGCGGCCATGCCCGTCCCGCACGGAGCTCATGCCCGGCACGCCATAGCACCGCAGCCAGTCCCGGAACACCGCGAAGTCTTCCTCCCCTTGCTCCGACCCGTAGCCTTTACCCCCTGGGGGGAGAAGGAAGGAGGGCGATCAGACACTGCCAACCAAGGAGGACAGAGCCTGGGGGGCCCAGACCTCGGCTGCACCTGCTCCTCCCTCTGCGTGAGCGGGCACCGGGCACCACCGCCAAGGGGAGACCTCTGCTCAGCTCCCACTCGGTGGAGGGCCAGGCCGGGCACCCCTGGTTACACGGAATGCCAAGGCAGAGGCTGCCAGCCGGACCTCACCCAGCCGGACCACCTCCTTGGGCAGCAAATGGCACAGCTCCAGCAGGTCCGGGTTTTGTAGCCGGGCCCTGATCTTCTGGCTCAGGGTCAGCTCGGGGCTCTGAGGGAAGGCGGGCAGGGCCTGTCAGCACGGGGGGCAGGGGCGCTGCACGAGACCGCACGCCTCCCCTGCTGGACTCAGCCTCACTTTCAAGATGGCTCACAGCCACCTCACACGGGACCCATGCTCATGCGGGGCTCACCGGCCGGTGCTGCTTCAGGGCCTCCAGAACTGTGCGAGCCCTCTCAAATGGGGGGATCTTCAGCCTGGGGGAGCAGAGGGGGCCGTGGTGAGGGGGTGGGGGTGGGCCCCGGGCCTAGGCTACCCAGCCCTCCTGCCCGGGGCCTGTGTGCCCACCGGTGCAGGATCTCCGCCCGCAGGTAGTTGCCGATGCCGTTGAAGAATCTCTGGTCCAGGAGGGCCTCGCAGATGGGCCGGTCAAAGACCTTGTCCGACAAGTTCCGGAGCACATTCTCCCTGGAAACACAGCCGTATGTGGGAGATTCACACACACACCCTCACCCCAAACTCTGAGAAAGGAAAGAGAGGCTAGTGGGGGACGGGATACACCCTGTCCTTGGCTGCAGAAGTAACTGGTATCCCAGCCCCCTTTCCAGTCTCTGCTGTCTGGGCCTCCGTTTTCTTATCTGTTAAATGGGAGCAACACAGGGGTTAAATGTATTGGGAAGGAGAATTGGTGAGTAAACGTGCAGCTTCGTGCTCACCATCCAAGAACCCAGGCTGCCAGGGCTGTGTGAATGGAGGGCCGGGGTTGTGGGAGGTCACTGATGGATTTCAGTGAGCATGTCCCAGGCATGCCCGGGCAAGGCCTGGCTAGTGAGCACTGCTCCAAGGAATGGGGGAGGGGGGCGCTACAGACCCATAAAGAAACACATCTGGGCAGGGGGGCCAGTGGCTCCCGTCTGTCATCTTAGCATCTCAAGACGCTGAGATCTGAGGATCACAGTTCCAAGCAAAAATGTCTGTGAGACAATTATCTCCAATAAACTTCTCAGAAAAAGCCAGAAGTGGTGCTGTGGCTCAAGTGGTAGAGCACTCGCCTTGAGCTGAAGGGCTGAGGGACAGCACCCAGGCCCAGAGTTCAAGCCCCACTACTGACAAAAAGAAAAAAAAAAGCTCAGGGACAGAGTTGGGTTCTGGGGTGCAGCCCCCCACACACACACATCAGTGTGGGGACAGATCGGGGAGTGAGGCCCAGTGGGGGCCGGGCGCCCCCATACCTGAACTGCTGGTACTCCAGGAGGACACAGGGCCCGCGGCCCGGATGCCAGTGCCCTCCGGGGTCCCAGCGGCCGAAGCGGCGGACGTCCACGAAGCAGAGGGCCTGCGGGGGTGCGGGCGGGGCGGTGTAGAAGCGCAGGTGCGCGTGGCGCGGCAGCTGGCCGGCCGGGGCCAGCCGGAAGGAGCCCGACATGCCGAAGCGGAAGACGATGGGCAGGGGCTGGCGCGGCGGGCGCGCCCCGGGCAGGGGGCTCAGGGTCAGGCGCAGCTCCTTGCCGCGCGTGGACGCCGCGATGCGGTAGGCGCTGCTCTCGAAGGGCACCTCGGGGTTGCGGCTGACCTCGGACTTCTCCACGCGGCCCGCGAACACCAGCTCCGCGCAGGCGCGGTTCACGTAGAGCGCGGCCAGGCGCAGCTCGGGGCCCTCGGGCATGCTGCGCGGGGCTG